TGGATCAGAATTTGTGCAACATATATTATAGCAAGTTAAACTTATTAGGGGCAAGATGAAAACTTCATAGGATAGACAAAAGAGGTACAATTATAAAAGAAGAAGATTGCTGGAATTTAAAGTAAGAGATCATATATTTATCATGGTTACCGCTAGAACTGGGATTGGAAGAGCAATAAAAACCAGAAAATTAACGCCATAATTCATATGGCCATTCCAGATTCTTAGGCGTGTTGGACCAGTAGCATATCATATAGCCTTGCTGCCTCATCTGTCTAACCTACACGACATGTTTCACGTGTCATAATTAAGGAAATATTATCCTGATCCTTAGAATGTCATTGAACATGAAACCATTGAGCTTAGAGATAATTTAGAATTTGAAGCATTACTTGTTAAGATCATAGATCACAAAATCAAAGAACTCCATAAAGAAGAGATACCATTGGTTAGAATCGTCTGAGACAAAGTTACCGACGATTGCACATGGTAATGGGAAGAAGACATACGAAAAGAATATCCTCACCTTTTCTAGGCATGTAAAATTTCAAGGCCGAAATCTTGTTTAAGACGAGTAGTAATGTAACATCCTCAATTTTTTACGAACTCCACTTTAAGAGTGCTAAATGTAACAAATAATGATTATAAATTTTATTATTATAATAATAATAATTATTATTATTGATATTAATATTATTATAACAACAAAAGATAGAAATGTGATAAGTACCAATTCAAATAAAAGAAAAATCTAGAACATAAATGATCTCATGCATAAGCTCGTTACTTTCCTTAGATCATGCATGAGCTCATTACTTTTCTTAATGAAAAAAGAAAAGAAAAGGTGGCATGTACTAGAATACTCTACAAATTAATTTTATATTATTTTTTTAGTAGTATAAATAGGGGAATTACTACCCCTTATTCTCCATTTCATTCATCCATTAAAACAAATTAGTTTTATATTGTTTAAATTCTCTTAGATGAAATTTTAAAATTAGCAAGAGTCTAGTAGTATTTTTCTTTGTTACCGGTAATCCATTATATGTGAAAATTTTAATACTAATTTATTTTAAATACTATTTTATTATCATTATAATGTTCAAATACTTTGATTTATTCAAAATGTTATTAAGGTCATACTCTCGGTAAATTTTAGAACCTATCAAATATAAAAGGAGGGTATAGTCTAATTAACATTTGAATTGAATAAATATTTAATGCTTAAAATACGATTTTATAAGTTATAATTAATTAATCATATATTATTATTTCCTAACAACCCGACGATCGACATAAATTAGGTTCTTTTCAAGATTTGAAAATGACGCCAAGGAAATTTTCGCAACGCCTTCAACAACAAAAGGTGAGGGAAAGATTCCGTAAACATTGGGACGATTAGCATAAAATAGTTATATAGTGGTGACCCAAGCCTTATTAGAGATAAATAAGTAAGAAAAACCTATTATCGGATAAAGATTTTTACAAATCACTAAACGAGGTTACACCGACCTTAAATATTTATCATAGGAATAATCTATGACAATTTAAGGTTGTATTGTGCTTGAATTATTTGATTAATTGTCTAAATATTTATTCTTTGATACTTAAATGATTATGATTGTTAGAGTAAGAAAATGATCTATTGCTCCTTGATGTGAGAAACAACAACGTCGTTAAATATTAAGTGTTAGATTCCCATAACATAAGAGAAGTTGGATACATTGAATAATTGTATTTGGTTGAGTTTTGGCTAAGGAAAGATTTGGTCAACTATGTCCTTTATGACCCACCTCTCTTTCCTAGGAAGTCAACCATACACTACTCATTGTATGGACTAAACTCACTAGGTAGATGTAAGGTTGTGAGGTGAATTAATAATAAAGACATTTTGAGGTTGTTAATTGTAATTGAAACTCAATATTGTAGGTGTTTAGCGTACATAAGAACTGGAATGATGAATTCTTGTAGATTAAATTACTACTTGGGATTAAAGTTGGCATAATCTGGTTGAGAGTACATGTAGAATGCATTTAGTAATGTGTAAGTCCATTGTCGTGTATATGGGTGCACGAGGTTGATCAACTTTTTGAATTCTGACGAGGATTATTAATGCACAATTGACAATATAATTAGATATTGACCTATTTCCTTAGGGGTAATTGACTTATAACATTTGGACTCCACATGAGGTTAGGTGGCGTTGCTTTTGGTAAATGAGAGAACGTTGGTGAAATATGGTCTCGTGACATCTGATCTCAGTAATTAGGAGGATGTCCTTGATAGTGTTTAGTGGCCTAAGTCAACCTATAATTTAGAAATGCATCATGATAAATATAAACATTTGAAGATGTCACACTTGATTTATTACTTGTGTTTGACATATATATTATTATTTTACACCTCATTCTCACTTTTAAACTTGTACGAAAATCTTAGCCATGCATTCTTTTTATCTTGCATCTTTGGATTGATCTATGACAATCAGACGATGAACTAGACTCCCTCTTACATTCCGATAGTCAAAGAGTGAAGGCCAAAGAGTGACATGGAGTTGGATTACGATGACGTCAAGATTAAACATTGTTAACATTTTGTCAAACGCTGATCATATTTCTACTATTACGTGATATTATATATAGTCAGTACAAGTGTCAGTACCATTGAACTTAGGTGGTCCTTTTTGTTATGCTTTCATTTGATTTCCTTTTATTTTAAGTTTTATCTACGTGGCAGCGCCATTAATCTTAGTTGTGTCAAACTCTATGTTAAAATTGGATATATATATATATATATATATATATATATATATATATATATATATATATATATATATATATATATATATATATATATATATATATATATATATATATATATATATATATATATATAATATTTTAAGCAATTAAGTATTGTTATTTAAAAATTTAAAAATTTAAGTATTTTTATAAAGGTTTCTAGGTTTTCAAATTAGAATTTCACTAATGAGACATAGACGGCCTCATTCTCCACACTTGTCGTGCTACCAAAAAAGGAGACTGTTCCCATAATTTAGGATCTACCCAACAATACTAATTAACATCAAACGACTCTACTAGACCTTTACGCTTTTGTCGAACCATGTCCATCCAATTGTCATGAAAAAGATAACACTATCATATACTCGAGAATGACTTTGAAAATTATTGTGATCTCTAATCTCAATATTACTAGGGTCCCGCCATGTACCACCCCAAAGGATCTAATAAAACAATGAATCCTCCCTTCATCGCAAGCAACTTCAGTAAAGTTCCAATCCACGATAGGTGGAACATAATAAGAACGGTTGACATTTATATCCCTTACATAGTGACCATTATAATCCATCCACCTATTCTTTTCAAAAGACTTATAAGTACTTTAATTATAAGAGATACTATAAGATTCATTTTTGTCTTCTACAAAACCCCACTAAACCCATAACTTTTGCTAAGTACAATGAGGTTTAGGTTGGATTTGCAAACCTCTAAAGGATCAACTTTTATCATAGCAGGGCTCTCTATTCTGATGGATGATGAAAAATCACCACCAAAAAAAATATTTATTATATTTTCAAGAACAATTTCTAAATTAAAAATGACATTTAGTATATCTTTAGAACATTTCCTATTATTTACTTATATATAGATGTTAATTTTTCTGCAAAAAAATGGTGGTAAAGAGAGGGTGTTAGTGAAAGTTGTTAAGGTTGTGGATATTGTCCACACTCTTTGGCCACATATAATATCGTTAATTTTATAAAATAGTTTTAAATTCTAATTTTATAGAATCATTTGATATATAAAAATTGCAAGCAATTTGTTACATTTATGAAAAGATACGTCAAATTGTTTACACCTAAATAAAGGCTGAGAAGGACATTGAAAAACCAACTAAATTTCCCCTCTCAAAACTCAAGAATCTTCAATTGTATATGTTTCACAATTATCTCTCATTTTTTTCTTTTTATTATTATTTGATTGTTTCGTTTGTGCATAAATAATCGTTACTATCTTAATAGTTTATAAATATAGTGTTTTATTGGAGAGAGGTACTTTTATCTATTTTTTCATATGGACCCAAGAAAATCATGTACTCATTAAACACTTCACAATTTGTTATATCATAATTTTGGAATTTTATTTTTAATAAATTTTTATTGAGTTTAATATTTCCTCAATTATTAACTAATAATACTCTTAATTAATCATAGAGGAAGTAAATGAGCGTTGATATTTGTTAAATAATAACTTTTCTTTTATCAATAATACTCTTAATTATTTATCATCTTAATTTATTTTTCTCTCTCAAATAAATAGTTAATAATAATTTTGACAAAATTATAATTATTGTTACTTTAAATTTTAAAAATAAAAATTAAAAAAATTATTGTAAACTAAAATCTTATTCTACTAACCTTCTTTATTTATTATTAATTTTTATATACTATATTTTTATTTTATATTAATTTGTCATTACTATGATTTATGCTCCGTGCATCGCACGGGATCAATTAGACAATTACTAGTAATAATATAATCTCAAAAAATTTATTACAGTTTATAATTAAATAATTTAATGTAAACATTGATAAATTATATATTTTAATTATTAATCATAGCATTTTTGTTTATAAAGATATAAATATTATTTACTAACAAATAAATCCTAATGTTTCAATCAGAACCTGTTTCTCTCTTCACGCCGTAGAACTCTTCTTGCCGTCTATCCATCATCGTGAATCCTCTCCGTCGACCGGTTCAGCACCACCGTAATCCTCGCCGTCGGCCGCTTTGGTTTACAGCCATATCGAGCATCTCAATCTCTGGGGTTGTCTCATTCTCTATTACGCTGTGTTATAACTCCGATTAGAGTGAGTATTTATTCTTCTCTCTTCTTCACTCCATTTTACCCCTAGTTCCCTTGTTTCTGAGTTGATAAATAGTACTTAACTCGTTACTCTCACCAGTTGCTCGAAAATGGAAGCGAACAAGAGAGAGCAAATTGTGGATGTTGGATCAGTGGTTGAAGCTGTTTCTGCTGAGGCCGGTGATGCACCTCTTTACGCCATCGAAAGCCTCTGCATGCGCTGTCATCAAAATGTATTGATTCCTTTACTTGATTATGCATTGCTTCTACTTTGGAGTTATTGTATTTATAGGGTTTACCTTTACAGCTTCGTCTGATGTTTTTTTGTTTTTGTTTTTATCATCTGACTTGAAATTCTGTCATGTTTTTCAGGGAACTACAAGATTTTTATTTACTTCAATTCCTAATTTCAGGAAGGTACATGTCCTTATTTTTCATTCCTTGTTCTCTTATGCTGATTGGTGGGTTTTTTGGTTAATGTTTTCTACCATTAGGTAATGATATTGGGTTTTGGGAATATGTATTTTAAACCAATGCCTTTTTATCTGCCCCTCATTATGCTGATGTTTTAATTTTTCTGCCGCTGTTTGCTTTATAAATTACATGCTTCTAGTGTAATATATGATGGAACTTACCACTCAAATTGATTTTGCAATGAGTGCTGCGGTGGCACATTAATTTTGAATGGATTGATTTTGTAAGATTGATTATGGTTAAAGGTTAATAGTAAGATGAATGTAAGTTGATTAATGTTTGGATGATAGTAAGTTGAATGTTAATTGATTTATATTTGAATACATTAATGTGAAAGTAAATTGAACATTGATTTCATGGATAAAATCAAATGTAGAAGGCAAACACAAAAAAATATAGCTTGAATTTAGAATCAATTATAGAACTACTTGAGAACACTGAAACATGCCGAAATCAATTCTATCTTCTAGAATCAATTTTGGCTCCTTCAATAGTGAAACCAAACATGGATGTCAAAGAGACTTCTAGAAGCACCAATAAGAGAGTAGGCCAAATGAAGGATGATATAATAGTTACGAGATACAGAGGGAGACTATGATAAACTATGTGCCAAACTAATAAACAATATTTAAAGTGATGGTTTGTCATATGATTCATGATAGGGCATTCTCGTATCATTGGATTCATATAATTGACTCTACCTAGTGAGCTGGTGAAAAAAGATTTTAACTGTTATCTTTTTGTTTTGATTATTTGTTATTTAGGACATGATAGAAATGGAAACATTAGAGAGGTAATGGGAGTTGTGCATTATGTTGAAATGTCGGTTGACTCTCACCCATGGTGGCCCGGTTTGGGCCTGTATGGATTTTTTTAAGACGCCCAATAAAGAAAAAACATAAGCTAACCATTAAGGATTTAAATTTAAATGGTTTTTCAGAAGATATAATTTATATAGTATAATATTATAACGGCATTTAGTTCATTTACTTGATCCTACCTAATGTAAAAAGGCTTATGTTAATTGATATTATCAATCTACATAATAAATGATGGATCATATCACAAATTATTGTGGTGAAGAGTCTCTCATTGGATGAGATAAAACCTGAACATGAACATAAATTTATAAGAGGCAACATTTCTCACGTTACAAAACCGGGATTTCTATGGTTGAATTGGACCCATTCCAAAATTCTAGGAGTTATTTTCATTTACTGCTTCTTTTCTCATGCTTGTAGTTTTATAGGAATAGGAATATAATCTAATGCTTTTGCTTTGTGCAGATTTTATTGTCCGCTTTTGAATGTCCTCACTGTGGTGAGAGGTAGGCTGCCTTTAATTTGTGCCCTCATCTTGTAGTGTATAGTGTGTGCATTCGATGTAATTACTCTTGTTATTTTTCCTTGAAATCTAATGTTATTTTATGTTTTTGTTAATCTGCTAGGAACAATGAAGTGCAGTTTGCTGGTGAAATTCAACCACGTGGTTGTTGTTACTCGCTAGAGATCCCAGCAGGTGAACAAAAGGTTGTGTACATTCAAACTTAACTCCCCTGGTTGTTTATTTGAATTGAAGCAAACATACATAGTCAGTGGATGAATTAAAAAACTTGATTTAATAGTTGAATTAGATACTAGACTTAATTCGGTGGAGGATGCCCTAGTGACTTCCTAGCATCCCGGCATAGGTTTATTATCAAAAAGAAAACAAAGGGTGGACAGAGAATATTCTGCATGTGACTAGGTTTTCTTGAAACTAATGCCTGATAGTCAGGTTACATTAGGGGCCCGCATCTGCCAAAAGCTAGCTCCACATTGTTCTGGTCATTTCAAATTCTAGACAAGGTAGGAGCAGTGTCCTACAAGTTGCTGCTACATGAATATTCTCACATCCATCCAGTGTTCCTTGTATTTTTGTTGAAGAAGGCTGTGGGGAATTACAGTGTGCAAACTGCCCTCCTTCAAGAGTTGGCAAGTGATAGTGGCAACAATATGGAATCCGAATCAGTTCTTGTCAGCAGGATGGCGATGTTGTTTGTCAAGTTCTGGTCCAGCGGATATGGAAAGGAGGGGAAGACGCAACATGAGAGGATGAACTAAATATTAGGAGCCAATTTCCCACTGAGACTTGAGGACAAGTCTTCTGTTGCCGGAGGGGATATTGATAGGGAGATTATTAATGAAGCAGTTAATAGACCGAGGATGTGGAGAGTGTATGAAAGGAGGAATAAGAGTGTAGTGGGGAGCAGTTAATTATTGTAAGAGTCAGTTATTTACACGTGGGTTATGGTGGTCTAACACCTTAGGTTAAGTTTCATAATTGGCAGCATTGCACATTTTGGGTGCATTCATTGAACCGAGCAGTGATGTTAACGGGCGACCATGGCTTGGCAGTTTTCTTTTACAACTGCCATAAGCAAATTGTGAAGGGATGACTGTCATGGCGGCATAATAGGTTGCAATTTTTGGCCTCCGCCCACGAAAGCACTGGAACCAAGTATGACAATAATCATTGGTGGAAAGAATGTATCCATTCTTTTTGTCCTCTTTCTCTTGCAGCTTTTGGTTCTGGAATGCAAAAAGCTAACACAGATTATAAACGTAATTTGAAATCTAGGAGGCATTTTGGAAATACAAAATAATAGACACATTTGTCTTAGATTAGATGGAAATATTGAAGTTAATGGGACATGGTGAAACACTGAGGTATACTGTGCACAAATTAGGAAAAGGTTGGGAAGCTAAATTCTAAATATTACCATCTCTATTGATGATGGTATGATAAGGAAGTAGGGCCTCATGAATTATTTCCATGTGCTTATATAAGATGTGCACAAATTAGGAAAAGTCTGGGAAACAAAATTCTACATATTAATATATGCATTGATGGTATAACTGGAAATAGTGCCTCCTGCATTATTGGTGTGCTTATATAGTTTGTGGGTGCTTTTTGCTAACTAGTTAGCTGATATGTGAATGCCTTATTAACAAGTTTAATGAATGCAGATGTTCAACCGGCAAGTGGTAAAATCAGAATCTGCTACCATTAAGGTACAAAAATTGTTGTTATTTAATTTTTTTCTACATTTGTTTAGCCTATGAAAATCCATTTGATAATTGACACAGTGGTTCTTGTCTCCCTTGAGATTTAGACACATTCCATCTTAGTTGAAATGACACACACGCACTGATGAATGTATTTGACCTTTGTTAGTGTGATAAGACCTGATTGTTGTTATTGTTGATGATAATGTCATGTGCAACCATGCTATTGGTCCTACAGAACCTTCTTTTAGTATTGATTAAACCTCAATTTTGCTTTGCCTACCCTTTTGTTCTCTTTATATTTTAAATTTTCTGCTGATTTTTTTTTGTTTTTTTTTTTGTTTTTTTTTTTTGTTTCTTGTTTCTTGTTTCTTGTTATGTGTTTATTTATTTATTGAGAGGTTCAAGCATTTTGTTGATACTTTCTTTTACATCTATCTCACCTTCTATATTATTTCTGTTGTCACTTATTCTTTATTCAAGTCCCGCATTATGCTCGTTGTACTTTGATATTTCTATATGTTTTTTCTTGAATGCTAAACTCTGTATTGTCACTGACAATATTGCCTAAAGTCTCATTAGCTGATTGCATGATATTTGCATATGCAACTTTTTACTCATGCATGAAGCCGGGTTTCTGAATTTATAAGATTCGTCTCTGTTGATTGAAAATGTGTAAGTACAATGTATTTTTTTAAAGGCACCTTGCTAATGTGTATGACTGCAGATACCTGAACTCGAGTTTGAGATTCCACCAGAGGCACAGCGTGGTAGTCTGTCAACGGTACATCTGTTACATATTTCTATTTCTATCTTTTCCCTCTCCTGGCATTTTGCTATTTTTCCTTTTTATGTTAGCTACTCTGTCATTTATGTCTCAGGAACATCCTGACACATGCCTTCTTTTTGCCTTGCATGGGCTGAAGTTACTCAGCTTATGCAAAATCATGTAGTGAATAAACATGACACACATGTCCTTTTTATTTGATCAAAACCATATTACAAGTAAAAAGAGTTAATTTGGTATGTACTATTAGTAAGAATGTTTGGCATATCCATCCAATCACATTTCACCACGTAGATAATGTGAAGATATTTTAGAAATTAATATAACAAATTGATGTTGGATGCATGTATAATTTTTTTTACATCTAGCATGTATCAATTAAATCCAATGAGATAAGCATATCATAATTTTGTTTTCCATTTATCACTCATTATTTGGTGGCAAGGATAATGTCCATTAATTTATATTAGAAATGTCAATTGCAAGTGTCAAGAGTTTTATACTCACAAATTTGACAAAGAATCCGGTTAAATTCTCTACTAATTGATTTGTTGTCATATGATTTTCCAATATTATTTCTGGTGTAATTATAGGTTGAAGGGATACTAATGCGAGCTGCTGATGAACTTCAGGCCCTTCAAGAGGAACGCAGAGTATAATTTGTTTCTGTCCTTACCCTATATTATTGTTTGATATAAGTTTCTCTTTTAATTTAATAATTTACTGTTATGTTCTTTACCTTCTAGAAAGTTGCTCCAGAGACCGCTGATGCAATAGATCAGTTCCTGGTGAAGTTGCGAGCCTGTGCCACAGCAGAATCTTCCTTCACGTTTATTATTGATGATCCTGCTGGAAACAGTTACATCGAAAATCCGTAAGTGGCTATCTGTTGTTGAAAGTGTTCTTTTTTTTTTTTTGGAGATGGAGTGATTGCTGTAGTTTTCTTTGATAAGGAAATATTTCAGTAGGGTTTAAGACCTTCAACGACAAATAACAGAAAACGTCATAGCTCTTCACCAAGGTCTTTCATGAAATAGTTTGGGACTAAATTGACATTAGAGAAACCGGTCCAAACTATATAGACTGGAAAAACTGAATATTAACCAAAAGCTCTAATAAGGTCACCCCATAACTATCAGGCATATGGGAAGTCAAGAAACAAGTGAATGCTAGTCTCAGACTATGATTAGATAAAGTCATTTGGTCATTAGGAGACTAAAGGGAATATTCTAGCATGCCTTCAACAGTTCAATAGTAGTATGAAGGCTAAAATGAGCCTCTACCTTGCAAAATAATATCCTACTTGATAAGATGATTTCTCAAGATAACCCAATTCATGACCAAAGAAAGTCTCATAATTTTCTATGCAGTTTACTAGACAATTTAGAGACTATGAAAGGAGAGGACATTCTATGAAGGATATTTTACATAGGAGTAATGTATCCTTCTAAAGAAAAGAAAGCATAAGTTCACATCGGATCTTGAAAATATTAAGAAACCTATGAAGCACATACACCTCCAGGAGTAGGTGTGTCGCAGTGTCCAATATGCGTCGGTGTCTGACATTTGGATCACACTCGTACGGCACTTGTCTGAAGACAAGTCTTGGAAAAGTCAAACAAGTGTCCCCAAAAAATAGGTTTTTTTTTTCTCTGCTTCGACACTTTTCGAAACGTAGTCCGACACTCATACAATATGTGTTGGACATTTCAGACAAGTGTTTCAAAAAATTGTTTTTTTCTTTGCTTAACACACCTTATAAATTTTTTTGAACAGTTCTCACACACATCTAAAAAGATTAAATATGTATTGAAGCAATGTTATCGATGAAGGATTAAAGGCGTTAGTTTTATTAAGAATATTATTAATTTTTTTTAATAATAGATGGATAAATGAAGGTCAAATACTATCATATATGTAGCGGTGTCGGTGTCCTGGATTTTTGAAATTATCGGAGTCGGAGTGTCCGTGTCGGAGTCCGTGCTTCATAGTAAGAAACTTAATCATGTCAAAATCACGCTCTTTAAGTTGGTTTTAGTGGGGCTTGATGAAGTTTGGATTGCTCTACATTTTATTTCAAATCTACTTCATTTTGTTATCTTTTATTGTAAATCAGTTTTAGACAGAAGCCCGTCTCTGTTGGTGAAACAGTATGGCACCTGTTTGGGACTTGTTAATATTAGCCTAACCTTGTAAGTACTTCTATTATATTTGAATGGATTAAATTTTATGTGAATAGGTTTGCACCATCATCTGATCCATCACTCACTATCAAGTTTTATGAGCGAACACCTGAGCAACAAGCATTGTTGGGATATTCTACACAGAATGAAGGAACTCGTGATGAAGTGCTGGAAAGTGAAGAAGCAGCGGCTTCTGGGAGAACGAGAAGGCAACCCCATGGGTCAGTTGGGGCAGCAGCTGGTCAACGAGCTATTGCACAAAGTAATAGTGCAGAAATCGCAGATGCCTTATTTCGATATAGTGCACCAGAAGAGGTATATTATGCTGAAATGTACTGTACTACTAGAGGTTGTTCTTTTCTTGTTGTTCGACCATTCAGTTTCATATTGCTTATTGCTCCTGACAGGTGATGACTTTCCCGTCAACTTGTGGAACTTGTACTGCTAAGTGTGAAACTCGAATGTTTGTCACTAGTATCCTTTACCATGTTTCATACTGCCATTTGGATACTCCTCACCTACATTTTTTACATATATATTGAAGGGTTTTCAGCATGTTTAGGCTTTTAGCAGCAATGGCAATTAAATTTCAAATGATTGGCTTAAGGGTTCATATTCTGTATATGTAAGAGATTACAAGGTTTGAGGAGGGAAAACTAAAATCATATAATACTAATTTTGCTTAAAGTACAATTAGCCTATTTACTCTTTTAACCATGAACTGAATTCAACAATTAATATTGTGATATAATATATGCACATGTATAATGAAATCAGAAGTTGTTTAAACAAGTTCCACTGATATCTAATTAATGGTGTTATAAGTGCACCCCTCACTTTGGAGGAGCCAAACCTTTCCTTTGTCTACAATTACTCACTTAAAAGATTCTGCAATCTAATGCCAATTTTGCATTGTAGTATTAGCAGAGCCAGCATGAACTGTGTTTCACTAATTCATTTATACACTTTATTGAGCTTAACAATAAACAGATATTCCATATTTTCAAGAAGTAATCGTTATGGCATCTACATGTGATGCTTGCGGTTACCGCAATTCTGAGGTATTTGTTGATTTCTGTGCGTAGTTCTCTCGTTGAGAGCTGGGACTGGTATAATTATTCCTCTTTTTTCATGCAGTTAAAACCAGGTGGACGAATTCCTGAAAAAGGAAAAAAAATTACTCTTCATGTGAAAAATATTAAGGACCTGAGCCGGGATGTGATTAAGGTTTGTTTTCTTTTAAATCTTTTATATCTAAATTTTGACAATTCTCAAGCTCGCAACCCATGCAGTTTCTGTAGTTTATATACACTAGAGGAAAGACGTTCACTAACATGCTGGTCTATCCGCTATTTCTATTTGTATAATATATTTTTTAATTTAGTTTGTTTATTTTAGTGGACATCTGTATGTTTTTTAATATAATAGTTGATTCTCTGTATATAACCATTCAGTGGACCTGTGGCATTATTTTTTCAAATGTGTAATAGTTACTCCAAATTAGGAACAGTAATAGAGTAGTACTTTATAGCGGAGAAGCTATGTTGGACATGGCATTATTTTTTCATTTCGATTGAACCTAGAAAAATTCAGGCAGACTCTTCCTAAATGCCACTTTGGAATTGTAATTTTGGTTCTATAATTTTGTTTCTACACTACGGTAAAACTATACCATCTTTTTACAATCAACTTAACAATTTGTTGTGGTCATCATTGTCTGAAATGTTCATTTCATCATAGTTCTTTGTGCTACATTGTTGTCATTAGGATGAGCTTAGAGTTTAAGATAAGAAAGGACAGAAGAAGAATAAAGATTTCTGATTATGATTATGGTATGATAGTTATTCTCAGAATTTGGGTTGGGCCTAACTCATCCCTACAAAACCGGCTTGAAAGGAGAGGATTGCCCCACTTATATAAACAACACAGGCCATATCTCTAAGCATTGTGAGACTAAATCCACCCTTTCATACCCAAACAATGAAGGTATTGGAGGCTGCACTTAAGGCAATCCAAATACCGCAATTAAGGCAAAACTGACTAGGAGCGGACCACAATGAAGGCGGAAATTCCAACAGTTATGACAAAAGGTTAATGCCTAATCCTTAGTATAACACTGAATTCCTAATTCTTATCGAATAGGGAAACCCTGAACTTCCAATTCATATCAAATAGGGAAACATGTCCTGATAACAACTAAGAATATGAAAGTTAATCTCAAGAGATCTTATAGGGTGCTCTAAGATATCATGATATTGTAAGACATTTTTCACAGAATGCAACACTACTCACCAAACTAAATCTTACTATACTCTAAAAAAGTATGATCAAACTATACAATCTGACAGTTGGAATTGTTGCGAGGTCGTAGTTCTAATGGGGGTGGCCTTGCCAGAAACTTTTTCAATGACCTCAGACCATGGAGGCAGAGGCTGGGAAAGTTTTTGAAAATTGGAAGGGATGACATGGCGGAGAGAGGAACCAGAGATGGTACAGTAGTGCTCGTGTTTGGAAGGGTTCACCCTGGATAGGAGATGTAGAATTAAACTGACAGAAAAAGAACCATTGGAATTTTTGCACAGATGACAAAAGAAGTATATGGAAATGATGACACTGTCATAAACCAATTTAGATTTCAGGGAACTCGACAATGGAGAAAGAATAGAGATTTTTAGTTATGGTTATGGTTGTATAATTACCATACAAAAGGCTGAGTACTAACTCTTATTGATACTAATACTTGACTCTGAGTTCCAATCTTGCAGGGAAAGAAATCATGATAACAATTAAGTATCAAAACAATTCTAAGATAATACGAGATCAAGATATTATAAAAATATTAATCATACCTTATCATACAACGGCTTTGTTTTCAGTGATATACTAAAATTTTTGATAACACTCGGGTCTTTATGGTGATGTCAAACCTTTAAAAATGTTGTGATGGTGTGTTTTCTCTCAGCATTTGTTTTTTTTCCCCTGCTCACTTACAACTTTGGTTTATATCTCTCCTTACATGTTATGCCATATATGTTGACTGAATTAATTTGGTCTGACTAGTCTGATACTGCAAGTGTACAAGTCCCTGAACTTGACTTGGAGCTGGCAAGCGGCACCATGGGAGGACTTGTTACAACTGTTGAAGGTTTAATTACACAAATCAGTGAGAGTAAGTATCCCACCTCTTTACCTCTCGTACATCTAGATGATGTCTCATATGGTGACAAATTTAAGAATAATTTGTGGAATTGTAAATGAAAGGACAAATAGTAGTATGGTGTTCAAGTCCTGCTTCGGGTAGTATGATATGCTCAGTGAAGTATTAAGTGACTTTTCAAGTTTTACTCTCAAAATATCATGTTTAATTACTCTAGAGGTCCTCAAAATATTTGGGGGTTTCTAAATAGATCCATGAACTAAAAATAATAAGTTCAGAGATCAGTTTGAAGTGTTTTTAATAGTTTAAGGACCTCTAGATTAATTAGACTTAAAAATTATTTCTTTTAATCCAACAGCCTACAACTAATATGTTGGAAAAGCCTTTTGAAAAGGCGGCGCTACTAACTAAGTTCCTGTCATGGCAGGCCAAAAGACAGACCTATTTTGGATCTATTGTAGATAGTTGTATTTTGAGTTTGCAAATTCCAAGTGTTTGGAACTGGGAGAATCCTTGTAAAACAGACTTTCTAAAGATGAATTTTAATTCTTGTCATTCACATGTTCATGTTTTTCCCGATTATTCTGTGTTTTAATTTAATATAATCTATATATCTTTGCTTGAATTTTAGGATATTATTGATTTGATTTGCATGTACAGGCCTTAAAAATGTCCACGGGTTTAGTCTTGGAGATAGTCTTGATGAACATAAAAGAAGCAAGTGGCTAGACTTTCAAGCAAGGCTAAACAAGGTAGGACCTAACTATATGAGGGTCAGCACCAGTGGTTGTAGCGGCCATTTTTTGCGGCCCCAAACTGGTATCACAGCCGCTATTGTGTTTGTTATTTGATTTTCTGGGATAAATTCCCGTACTTTTTTTGTTTAAAACTGTTGTCACTTTTTAAGGGTATACATTTCAATCCAAACCCTTTGATGAGTAATGTCATGTTCTTGCTAACATATAATCATTTCGTTCTTTTTCCTACTTTTATTTCTGTTTTATTCTTCTTTTGTGCTGAAGTTTCATTTCTCTATACTTTAGGTTCTCTATCTCCTAAATATGTTGATCTCTTTAATTTTGAGTAGCTTAATTTGTAAACTAGTTTTTAGTCTTTGCAATAACGGCTACGGGCTATCCTGCTATGCCGCTATAGTGTTTTAGGGAGTCGCGCTTCGCAATGCTATCTGAGGTTAACAACTTAGATCTTCCTGTCACTGAAAACTGTATGACTTGGCATCTTTTCTATATATACAGCTTCTTAGCTTGGAAGAAGCTTGGACTCTAATTCTTGATGATGCATTGGCAAATTCTTTTGTTGCACCCGCAACAGATGATCTAAAAGACGACCATCAATTAACATGTAAGTTTTTTCTAGCAAAAGATAAAGTTATATTAGATGCAGTTGCCATTTTCGAAGTTTATATTGAAGTTGTGAATTTTTGTTTTGATGGTTTCAATCTTTTATTGATCACATACCTGAGAGGATCATATCATTCCTGATGCCCTCATTATGTAAAACAAAGTTTTCTTCGCTGCGGTAAAAGAAATTGTTATATTTTGATTCAATCTAATTAATTAAAAGTTAGATGGGAATCCAGTGTACTGCCATGGAAAGAAACACATTTGTACAGCATGTTAACAATTACTATTTGCAATTATAACTGAATAGTTTAGTATTATTGGCATGTTATCTGCACCTGATTGCATAGATCTTCATGTTATTATTGACATGTTATTGGCATGGTATCTATCCAGTTGAAGAGTATGAGAGGTCATGGGAACAAAATGAAGAACTAGGTCTGAATGATATTGACACCTCTTCTGCGGATGCTGCATACGAATCAACAAACACTACTAAGATTGACTGAACATCTTCTGAACTCTTGTTTCTTTCCTCCTCTTGTCTCAATGCGAATCCAACACAAGGGGGGAAGAAACATACCAGAAGGAAGAATTGTTGTGCCTTTAGTAGCTAGGAAACATAGAGAGAAAGGAAATACTTGTTTGTTGTCTTATTTAATGATGACTTGTTTTAGTTGATTGTTACATTTGTTACCGTTGATTTTTGTTTTTCTTTCTTTTTTATGGTAGCATATTGTATGATAATATATTGATAACTATTGCATCCTTTAAAATTATATTTTAAGGAAATTTTGTCACCCTTTCTGGTTTAGTTATTATGTCATAAAAAGTAATTTCTTTTGACTTGGCGAGTTCCTTGGTTACTTCTGGTTTTTGCTATACTTATGCTGTTTATTTAGCTTCCCTCCTTTTAATCTGCACTTCTCCGTTTTCTCTGGAGTTTGGTAAACTCACTTTTTAAAGCCAAAATCAATTACACTTTTACCAAATTGATGCTAAACTCAATATCAATTATACCAAACTCAATTACGTTAATACTTGATTCTGTTTTGAATAACAATTGACATAATTAAGTTTGGTAAAAGAGATTTTAATAGAATCAAGTTTAGCACAATTGATATATGTTTGGATACGGTAATGTAAAAGTGACTAGAACAAGTTTTAGTGTAAAAATCACGTATAAACTTTAAAGTTATAAATTCCAATCACGTCTAAACTTGAAAGTTATAAATTTCAACTTCAAAATTATAAATTTTAACTTTAAGTATAATCAATTTTAAAGGCAGAATCAATTATATTTTAAAATCAATTCAAAATCAATTCTAAAGCTTTTGTCTCTTTCAAGATGGTATATTAATAATAAAGGAAAAAATCCTAACAAAGATGATATATTAATAATAAAGGAAAAAAATCCTAACAAAGAAAAAACAAGCTGCAAATGACAAAATATATCATAAGCTACTAAGAAAAAAAAAGACGGACAAGCCAAATTAACATCAAAGAATTGGCCTCTAAGAGTTGCAATCTAAGGAAGAATCGAGTTAGAGCTCAAAGAGAATAGAAGCACAAACGCTCTTGACTTGATCGAAATGTTGACCTGCTATTGATTAATTTAATGGATAGTTTCTGAAGTCATTTTGTGAATGTGTAAGAGTTGTCCATTAATCTATTTAGAGATTATTTCTATAAAAAAACTTCTCTCCTCCGATTCTTTTGTGTTTATTAAGAATCATAATACACAAGCTCATTTTGAGTTTTCCAGATGATCTAAACTACGACATGCCAAACCATAGAAAATTCCTTTAGACTTCGCCCTAAACATAAGAAAGTAAACTCTAAAAAAGAAGTTCAGGATCTCTAAGAAGAATTATCTACCACTACAACCAACTGAATATCTTATACCAGACAATGCTAACTAAATCGCAAGTGATAAACAAGTGAGAAGTTGACTCGATGAAAACACCGCAGATAAGACACATAAGACTAGTGTCAACAATCGCTTTTCTCTTGAATAAATTATCTCTAGAGGTGAACCTATTTAAGAGAAGTTGCCAAAAAAATTACCTTATAAGGTGCCCAACTACCTCAAATGTGGGGTACATATTTCATGGGGAGGAGGATAAAATAGAAGAAGGCAAAAAAGAGTGATAAGCAGAGGATACTAAGAAATACCCATCCATAGCATGCTTCTAAATCTACTTATTTGTGTCCAATGAAAAAATATCCCCCGAATATCCGAGAAAATTCTACAACAATTGGTTGCTCATGAACGAAGAAAAGCCTATACACCTTAAGTCCCAAATGAGGGTCTCATCTACCCACCTATCAACATCTTCCACACTTTTCCTATGATAATCAGAGATCGTAAACAACCTAAAAAACCTACCTTTGGGGGGTATATTCCTAACCCAAGGGTCAGACCAAATAGATATATGAAACCTTGATCTGAACTTCATAGTGATGCCATCCATAATCAGTCACAAGGGTCTTCTTGCTTAGAGCTAAGAAAGGGAACTCCTTTCCACCAGGGTGAAGATTTCTGAAAGCCTGAACCCCTGCCACCTCTTCAAGAATAGACAATAGAGGTACCATATCGGGCAACGAGGATATATCTCCAAAGACCAGAGACACCCAAGATAAGACACCACCTCCACTTAGTCAAAAGAGCTAAGTTAACCAGACGTAGATCACTAACCCCCAAACCACCTTTACTCTTAGGCTTACACGCGTCAACCAAACTAACCCAAGAGATTTTAAAATTACTCTTCATGCCTCCCCACAAAAGTCTTCTTTGAATCTGAACTATTTTCTCTAAACCTTAACCGTATTTAGAAAAGACATGTAAAAAATAGGGATAACATTAAACACATAATTGAGCAAAAGCACGTGCCCCTCATGCTAACATATCCATGCTTCCAAGAATTGAATACTCAGGTAAGATATTAACAAGGTGTTCCAAGACACTTCTCGATTGGGAATATCTCTAACAGGTAGCTCCAAATATTTAAAAGGAAGGGTCTCAATTTTACAGTGGAGAAAGTCACCAACAAATTAAAAAAAAAAGAATCCATTTTGACTCATATCATACTACGTTTAAAACAATTTACCCGAAGGCCAGAAGAAAACTTAAAACCCATATGAATAACCTTTATAGTCCAAAGGTTGTCACATATATATCATTTAAGATAAGAGTGTCATCTGTATACAAATGACGAAACCACAAAATCTGAGACTCCGATCCTAAAATTAGAAAGAAAGCCTAACTATAATGTCTTACTAATCGGACCACTTAACCCTCTGCCACAAGCAAGAACAAAAAAGGGAGTAATGAGATTCCCTTGTTTCAAACCCCTTTAAATGTTAATCTCTTGAGCTGTACAACCATTGACCAACACCACATGATTCCTAACAAAAACATAGGCTCTTATTGGAGACTCCAGTTATCATTAAATCCAAATCTAACCAGTATATCATCCTGAAAATCCAAACTCACAAAGTCATAAACTTTCTCAAAATCCATTTTTAAAACGAAATAAGACTTCATAGATTTCTTATTCAAGTTAATCACTTCATTCACATCCATCACACTATCAACCAACATTGTCTTTTTAAGATTGATTTAGGGAAACAAGTTTTTCCATGACCTTCCCAAGTCTAGTAGCTAACACTTTAGGCACCAACTTGTATAAAGAACCAACAAGAGAAATATGCCTAAAATACTCAACTGAACAAGATATTTAACCTTAGAAACAATGTGACAAAGTAAGAAGCAATCGAACACGATAATGAAGCAAAATGATGAAATTAATTAAACATAACTGCAACATCTTCCCTAAACAGATTTCAAAACTTTCTTAAAAAGGAGAAAGGGAAACCATCCATTCTCTAGATTTGATGAGCCTAATTTTAATTAGACGGGTGGAAAAGTGATTGTAATGGAACACATATGTGGTCTCAATATTAAAAATTTAATCATTACAAATAAAATGACGTATAAGATTAACGGTGGTAGGGTTACGTATTGGTGAAGAAACGATGGTGTTCAAGTGATCAATAAGGGATTGAGGTTGAGTAGGAGTTTGTTAAATGAGTGCAATTTTTTTTAGTCTGCATTAAAGCCATGGGTGATGTCATTGTAAGAGGTACCCTCAAGTTGCTCATAGTGAATGTTTCTATTGTTGGCTTCAAGTTCATAAGCTTGAGCTAATTCCATAGATTTGTGATATGAGGGAAGCCAATGTTTCTTTAAGTAAACTTCAATTGTGTTCCCGAGATTGTGACATTAGGCACAAATTTTTTATTCACCGACCACAACCTGTGCGAAAGGATCTTAGACCCAATTCATGAGAATGATTTGTGTTGTAAGGTATAAAGACTTAAGCGATGAGTTTGTCTCCGTCAATTTGAGGAGGGAGTTGTGTTCTTGTTGTACAATCATTTAAAAAACAAGGTTGATACGAGGAAGATGTTGCATGTGCATAACATACTTCTCATTTAATCCCTTGAAAAAATGAATAACATAGTCGTTTTCAATGAGTTCTTGTAAAATTTCTTAAGAGGAATCCATCCAAATTATGCTTTCAGCAATTTATGTGTTGATGGAATTAGTAATCCAAGCCGTAACCATCATATTGCTCCGATCCCAAGCCATGGAAGTGTGATTCGGGTGCTGAGAGAAAATTAGGGTTTCGTCGATGAACCATAAGTTTTTTAATCTAAGGGCAACCTTAACCGATATGGACTACGAATGATAATTTGTATTGTTGAGGGGTGGAGAAAAAATGACGTGACCAATATTGTCATAGGGGTGCATGAAAAATTGATCGAGCATATCAGTTTGATAACTTCGATCGGGATTAGGGTTAGGTTGAGGAACGGCATTGTTCGTCGTTGTTTTTTGTATATTGTGTGATAGTTGTGGAGACGATGATTAGTGGTAAGATTATTGTTAATGACTTTGTCAACGGTAGCCATCGTTGCAAAAGAAACAAAATGAAGGTTGTGAGTTTTGCCAAGAAGATGAGAAAGTGAAGAGAGAGAAAGAAATGAAAGAATGACGAAAAACGTAAGGGGTAATGTTACTAATGACTGATATGATAACTTGAGAATCCCGATGTCTAATAGAAAGATGACAAATGGCAAATAAAAATGAAAAAAATTAGAATCAAAGCCTCTCGATACCATATTAATTTGTGGCCAATGAAACCACTTTCTTCATGATATAACTTTAGAATCAATGAAAAATTAATTCAATTGATAAAAATGAGTCTCTCAATGTAGTTATACATGTCAGTTTTTAGAGATGACAATTTGGTCTATTCCTAGTAGGTACCTACAAAATTATCCACAACAAGTAGGGTAAAAACCCGCAAAAATGAGTACAGACATATACTCTGGTAATTATCCACTTAAATAAGCGGGGATAAATGCAGGTATGAACACCATATTACCCACCCCGCCTCATACCCGGACAATATATATTTATATATTTTAATTTATATTATTA